GCACAACAAAAAATGTTTCTGAAGAAAATCACCGACTGCACCTTTAGTTAACACTATTGATTAAGGTAAATGAATCGTGCTAAATGAGAAAGAACATTAAAGTTTAGTTCAGCAAATAATGAAAACTCATGTTATTAGCACACGCCTCAACTCATCATTACTTCATATTAAATTAAAATGTAGTTTACATATTGGCAAATTATTGTTTGTTATTGTAAAGTGTTCTGTTCCTAAATATTGTTGATTTTACCGTCTCCAGCATTGTTTTTGTTGCATACAATTATGTTGTGTGCTGAAGCATTCATTTTGTGTTTGCAGATCAGCAGTAAAGTTCACCTAAAAAATTAAGTGAATTTCCCTATTCAGATAGTAATTTGTGCCAGCGTGTATTGCATTACAGCTAAAACCAATGGTGTGAAAAAAACTGCTAAAACTAACAGGTTTCGTGACACTTTAACTAGAGACTCTCTTCTGAGAAAACAGATCTGCCAGCTCAGACTAACTTCCTATATCAGAGAGAAGCTGATCAGAAACCTGCAGAATAATGTCTGATTGTGTGGTGTGTGTAAATGCAGAGAAATAAAGCAGTGATGTGAATGTAAGATTGACTCACTGAGAATGATGAGCAGAAAGATCAGATGAAGAGCAGGAGCCATTCTGAGCCACATCAGCATCAAATCTATCTAGAATCCAGCATTAATCATCACTTCTACACTCATCAACAGTAAATGTACATCACCCTAAACAGCTCTTAGTGTTAGGAAGATCTTTACACATCTGCAGATTATTAATGCACAACATCAGTGTGTGTAAATCAACTGATGACTGAGATCAACACAAGATATTTCTCATGTCACAAATCATGTGTTATATGAGCTTCATCTATACCAGGGGTCACCAATCTTGTTCCTGGAGGGCCCGAGTCCAGCAGATTTTAGCTCCAACCCTAATTAAACACACCTGATCAAGCTAATCAAGGTCTTACTAGGTATACTTGAAACACCTAATCAGGTGTGTTGAGGAAGTTGGAGCTAAACCCTGAAGGGACACCGGCCCTCCAGGGCCGAGATTGGTGACCCCTGATCTACACTAATCATAAGTAAAATACCAGTGTGTTTGTCTTACCGTGTTGAAGAGCAGCCGATCAACAGCGACTGATGGACTGAGCGTGTGGACAAATGCACTCTTTAAACCAACAGACTTTCTGTGGCTAACACTGTTTTTAAACACAGTTGCGGAACTATCAGTGTTCCTCCATCAGCAAAAACCCTACCAGTGACTAAAGCTGAATGTGTTTTTACTTTATTTGTTTTACTTAAGTTTATTTAATTTATTTAAGTCTATTTAACACTTATTGGTGTTTCTACAGACAGAAAAGGATAAAAGTTGATCTTCAGTTGATGCACATCAGTGTTTCTACAGTATCAGCAGCAGGAGATGGAGACCTCTGCTGGTAGATTCAGGAATTGCACAACTTACTGTAATGAATTTGTGTCATGTGACAGAAAGGGGGTGGAGTTTTCAATCCAGCAGTGAAAGCATTGGCTGATCAGTGTGTTTATTAATGTGCAGAATAATGTATAATAAATGCACTTTAAATATGACTTTCACATGCAAAATCTCAGAGGAGTTTAACAGTTTAATCACTGTGTGAATGTCAGGAGGCCGACAACATCAGTTATTCATACACAGGTGGCTTTATTAGCATGGTAAACGATTCAATACTCTGTAATTTATTGTAACCAGTACTTTGCCAGAGATCCACATTAGACACCAAATAAAAAACTAAAATCATGACCAGAGGTGTTTAAATCACTGAAACTCTTTACAGAAAAACAAGAGAACACATTTATATAACTTCAAGCTCAATACAAGATAAAACCACATAAACAGTCTATCAGTAGCAGGAGATGGAGACCTTTGCTGGTGGAGTGAGGGTTTACACAAACATGTATGAGACCGTCACTAATGAAACTGATCACTTACAGGAACACAGAAGACAGAATAACAGAAGCAGGAAATATTAAACACTTTAAGACTATAAAGCAATTCACTGACTCATCACTGCATGATCCCTGTCAATCACCCGTAGCTCCGCCCACACAGATCAGGATTGGTTGTTTCTGGCTCCGCCTCTCACTGCAGCCTCCTCCTGTTGATCTGAACAGACAATAAGATGAAGAAAGACTGAAGCTCAACCACATTAAACTCTTTGACGAGGCTCATCCAATAATCAAACTGCTGCTGAGAGGGTTTATGGCTGATATTGTCTCTTACTGGTGGATTGTGATGTTCAGAAGAGCTCTGAGGATCAAGAGTGGAGCAGGAGTTTTCAGCAGGTCTGTGGTGAACGCTCTGTGTGAAAGACAGCGAGAGATCATCAATCATCTGATCATCAGTGAACATTGTCTGACTTTGACTTTGACTTACTGTGAGTGAGTCGTACAGGTCAGAGGTCGCAGACTGGAGATCCAGAGCTGCATATGTGTCTGAGATCTGGACAGAGAGAAGGACATTGTGTCTTCATTTTAAGAACGATCAGTGCACACAGTGAATGGTCTAAAAGGGTTGTTGGTTGTAACATGCATTAAACCAACCACAATCATATCTCCCATTTCCTTTAACAGCAAGCTGCAGTCGCGCCATGATGGATTCGCTATTTACACTGGAGGACTTTATAAGCAGAAAAGCTGAATGCTTCACTAGCGAGGAAACTGATCTACTAGTGCTCAATGTTAGCACAGATCATCTACAGAATGAGCCGGCTTCACCAATGCCTCCTTATGTAAATTATGCGTGGTTATTGCCTTGGGGGTTGCCCCAATGAATGCTAGTGAATTGCTGTTAACCGATGCAGTGTCCTTGTCAGAGAGTCGGAGTCATCATATTGAGTTTGACCATTTATTGCACAAGGCTTAACTATGTATATGAGCAACAAACAATTACAAAGTATATGCAATGACTCGGCATAACACAAACCCCATAAAAAACAACTGGTAAAGTTTACTGACACATGACATAAACTGAAAAAATATCTCTGCAAAAACAACAGTCCACAGTGTGTAATGAAGAGTACTAAGTAATAAAATAAAAGTTAAATAATTAACAAAAATGATTATTAAAGGTTCAGGACACCCTGGAGAACTTTTTTTTTATATTAACAGATTTGTGTGTGTTGAGCATCAGTTAAGACAATGTTAGCACCTGTCAGCTTTAATTGTGGGGAAAACTGGATAATTTTGAGCTTTTGTCAGCTGATTTCAGCTTCCGGGTTTAAAATGATTTTTGGGGCGGATCAAAATCAGTGACATAGCGCAGTACTGCAAGTGCAATGATGACACGTCGGTTTCTCATTATTATTCATAACGGAGTTTCCTTATCCTATGAGAAGAGCCGGCTGCTTAATTATTCATGAGACCTGCCAGTGTCAAGCCCGAGCTGTGAGACACGGACGGACCCACGACACACAGTATTTAGCCGTTCATGAAGGCTCATATGCGTTTGTTTCCATGATCCACGCGGTTTGTTGCATGTTTTCCCCCGCGATCTTGTCAGGGCCGATCATACAGCAAAGCTGTGTGTGTGCTGCTGGCATTTTTGTCGGGAGAGCAGCACGAGAATTAGAGAATGGCGGACGCTGTCTTTTATCAGGAGTTCGTTCACATTCAGACACATCGCCGTGCTGCTGTGTTTGCCTAAATCCTCCAGATTACCAGCAGGGCTAATGGTTGAAATAGACAGGTCAGGAGACCTGCTGCACTGAGTCTGCTGGATACGGGGATTGAGGGAGAAGTCCTCATTTATAGTGTTTACATGAACACACTTATCTTTATAATTATATAAATTGTGGTTATGTGTATATGAAATTACAAATAACAAATGTAGCAGGGCATTAAATCACTGTTCATTTCTTTGCATTTTAACTTTGTAAACTATAAACTCATGCGTCTCCTCACGGTTTGTCTCATTTTGTGAGCTAGCTTCGTTCGCTCACGTTCTCCCCTGCTGGCTACGCCCACTCCTGCCTGATGCTCGCGGAGCTCCATGCCCATTAATCATGCATCTTTTGAAAAAATTCTGAAGTAGACTTTAACCAAAAGTGGGGGGTGTCATGGCCCTTTAACACTGACATCAGTAATAATGGTCACAGATGGCTATTATTAACACGAAACATTACACATAAATATAATGAGACTGTAAACATGAGCGATGCACACTAGCGCTGCTAAGCTGCTCGTTAAGAAGGATCAAATTACACCCAAAGATCACTAAACATTAATAACATCACCACAATATCAGTTACTACACTACACAAGTCATCAACCAGATACATGAGAGAAACCTAATTCATTAAATACTTTCTCTTGTACATAAAGCTGTCCCTGAGCAAGCGCACGCGCTGTGACTGACATGCTGAAGTACTTAGTGAGGACTGTTGCTGTTGGCATTGCACTACATCTTTTACATAAGTACTCACGTGAATGTCATGTAAATCACAGGTCCTAAATTTAAAGGGAAAGACTTTACAATCGTGGGAGTAAATAGTGGATTTTATATTTATGTGGACAATAATAATATTCTACATTTTTAATCCTTTAGTTTTTCACATTTGAAGATGTTTGTGTGCTGCTGTGCATCCCCCTGTGTGTAATAAGCAACATGTATGCACATTTTGGACCTGCATATCACTAACGTGCCCTTTAAATAAAAGAAAAACTGCACCATTAACTGTAGAGCAGCTATTTCATTTGCCTTAAACTAGCAACACATCAACAACATGCCTTAACACAGCTTTTCAAACTGATGCCAATGGGTGCACAAATACTCTGTGATTTAAACAGCAGCAAAGCGACATGAACATGATACCTGAAGCAGACTGAACTACAATAATGTTCAGAGGAGCTTAATGTAAATCAGTTTTACTGTACACTCTTAATATCTCTGTGTGATCATCACTGGCTAAAGGGAATCATGCAGGAAAACACAATAAATAATGAAGATCATCTCACCACAGAGTCTTTAACTGCAGATCTTCTGCTCTTCCTTTTAGAAAGACTGTCAGAAGAAAGATGAAAACAATTATTTTACTTAAATGAAAGATTAAGTGCAGTACAGTGTATTCATGTTCTCACCAGAAGTAAAGCACAGCACTGATTGTTGCTGATGCTCCACCGACAAAAACACCAACAGCAAAACCAACAGCAAATCCAGAAGACCAGGAGACAAATCTAACAGCTGTAACACAAGACACATCAGCTTTCCATCATAAATCACATTACAAAAAATAACTTAAATAAAAAACAACAACAAGCAGGTTTAGGCATTTTAAATACAGACTGCCTAATGACTCACATTGGACATCTAAAGTCACAGGATCAGAGTGTTTCTCTCCATGGACATTTCCGGCTCTACACTTGTATTCTCCACTGTCATCAGAGCTGATATTGGAGATGCTGAAGATTCTTCCAGATCCTACAAGTGTTTCTCCTTTAAACCAGCTGAAGTTCAGAGCAGGAGGGTTTGAGTCACTGCTACAGCTCAGAGTCACTGAATCTCCAGATATTATTACAGCAGATCCACTGATGGACACTGAGACACTTCTGGGTGGATCTAATACAAGCAAAAGAAACAAAATAATCTTGATTTGTGATCTGAGCTCTGATTTCCAAATTGTATAAAGTACTAGCACCATAATCTCTAATATCAACACAAAGCCTATTTACGAAATTAATATTCACCATTAATATTCAGATTGTGAAATGCAATTTTATGTTGGCAATGAGCAAAATTTGCTCAGCAGATTACTTTATGAAAATCATTGGTGGTTACAGAAAACAGTTGTACCTCAGTTATTCTGGTACCAAATATAATATTGGTGTGAACATGTCACAGTGGGTAGAAAGACCCAATGGCAGGGAAATGCAAACGTTTAACTAAATTAGCTGCAAACGTAAAGGGTTCTGAAACCCCCCTCTTTCAGTTCAAGTCTACCTCAGAATTAAAAAAAATGCTCCATGATGGGCATGGATCTCTCAGAGGGAGGAGTGGAGGTGGCCAGCAGAGCAGGGGAATAAGAGGGGAGCGAACAACTGTTAGTTGGCTCAAAATCAGACTACAGATTTCCAAACACAAACACAGCAGCACAGATATAGGCAATGCTTCCTAATGGTAACAAAGTCAACTTATAAAAGAAAAGTCAGCCATTGTCCAATTCTCGTACAGCTCTCTTGCCAAAAAGTGCTTGCTGCAAACAAACAAGTTTTTAGTATTGGCTCTGACAGCATCATGAGGAAAATCATGCAACAAACCCTGTGGATCATGGAAACAAACACATACAACCCTTCATCAACAGCTAAATATTGCGTGCACAGATGCTGTCTCACAGCTTAGCATGTCTGCTTTGCCTTTGGAAAGCACGTGCTCTCATGAATAATGAAGACGTAGGCTCTTCTCAAAGAATAAGAAACCTCAGCTATTATTAATAATGAAAACCAACGTGTCATCACTCCACTAGCAGATGAGCGCTATGTCACCAATTTTGATCCACCCTAAAAATTATTTTATACCCGACAGATAAAATTAGCTGACAAAAGCTCCAATTATCCAGTTCTATACACAAAGCTAACAGCTGCTAACATTTTCTTAATTGACGCTCTTGGTGGTGTTTGACAGGGTGCGCGTGACGTGTCTGAAGAGTGAGGAGGGATGCGGTGGGGAGGGGTGATATGGGTGAGCGATGTATTTGAGGACTGGGAAGGAGACGCGCAATTTCCAGGAGATTATTACTCGTTTGCGGGCATCCGGGAGTCTCTGTGCACTTGCGAGAGACTCCCGGAACTTCAGAGAGACTTGGGATGTCTGGAATGACTTCCTGTCCTACTCCTAATTCTCTCTTCATATAGCTGTATGCCTATTACATATCCATAATACACTGTGATATAATCAGGCTTGGATTATATCGCTTTCTCACTACAATCGATCCGCTTCAGAGTTCGTTTCAATAGAGCCGAGACCACCTCATTCAAGCAATCTTGGATTAATTATTTTGGCGCAGAACTGAGCGCAATTGCTGGATTCACATATGCCAAACGAACCGCGCTAACTGGGCAAACGAGACAGGTTCCGAAACAAAAGTCTAGATGTGAAAGCACCCTAAAGCAGTAGACAGAGCAGAGTATTAGTAAGCACAGCAGTAATACTACAGTAATGGTAAGATGATTCACTGGAGAAGACAGATATAGACAAGACAAGAAGACAAAAGAGAGCAGATTTAATAGGTGAACAACAGAAATGGTCAGCAAACAGAAACAACAACCAGTGGAGGAGCTAATAAGAAAATTAGGTAAGTTTAATCAGAGAGAGAGGAGGAACAGAAGCTAATCAGAGCAGAGCGGCTAGATGGAGAGACGACAATTGAGAAAACACCAGAACAGACAGAAGATCAAGAGCTCATTTACTCACACTGAACATCTAAAGTCACAGGATCAGAGTATTTCTCTCCATGTGCATTTCTGGCTCTACACTTGTATTCTCCACTGTCATCAGAGCTGATCTTGGAGATGTTTAAGATTCTTCCAGATCTTACAGATGTTTTCCCTTTATACCAGTTGATTTCTGCAGGAGGGTTTGAGTCACTGCTGCAGCTCAGAGTCACTGAATCTCCAGACATTATTACAGCAGATCCACTGATGGACACTGAGATGCTCTTCGGAGGATCTAAAATAAACAAATCCATATCTTTAAATCATCAAACAGAATCTTCAGTAGAGAACTAAACACTAAAGATTAATGTATCTGTACTCACACATGACATTGAGATAGACCTCAGGTGATGTGAGTGTGTGTCCATGTACAGCACATCTATATCTGCCTGCATCTCCTCTACTGACTGGACTGATGTTGAGTTCATCTCCAATATTAGTCAATGTGTGTGAGTTTCTGTACCAGATGAATGTTGGTGTGTCAGTCAGTTTACAGCTGCTTCTACATGTCAGACGGACTGAATCTCCCTCTTTCACTCTCTCAGGAGACTCCAGCTGAAGTTCTGAACACAACACACACATTATATCTAGTGCTGCTCTCATACACTGATTATTATTCTACATAATGACCACAAGAAGAGAGAAACCTCAGGAGAGTCACCTGTGACAGAGAGAATCACTCCTGGAATACCAGTCCATTTTTGATTTGCTACATTAGTAGTGAATCTGAAATAATACTGGCCTTCATCTTTCTTTGTCACATGACTCAGTCTGATGGTGCAGTTCTGCTGTTTATCTCCCAGATACTGAAGCCTCTGACTGTATTCAGGGTCCTCAGACAGATCTGCAAACTCTACTCCATTATATACTTGGTCTTTGTTCCAGAACACTTTCATGATCTGATATTCAGTATTCGGGTATGTAAAAGTGCAACTGATTGTCATTGTTGAGTTCTGTAGTGCACAGATGTGTGAAGGACTGTAATTCACACCCCAACCAGCAGCTGAAACCCCTGAAACACAGAAATAGTCATGAATAAAATGTAGTTTAATCAGTAACACTGGACTATAAGACACTTGGAACTCATGCTGTTTTACTAGAAGTAATCAGTGACTCATTACAAATGATATTTTAAGCTGATCTTGTGAATATGAATGATGATCTCAGTGTGAATGACTTCAGTCTTGATGGAGGACAGAGAAAATAAACCAGTTAAGAAATGTTATGTTATGACCACACGCCTCAACTCATCAGTAGTTCATAATAAAGCCAAATGTAGTTTACATGTTAGTGCATTATTAATTGTTATTTTCCTGAATACAGCTGATTTTACATCTCCACAACTGGTGTAACTGTGTGCTGAAACATTATTGTTGTGTTTGCAGATCAGAAGTGAAGTTCACCAAAAAAAGTTTCAGTCAACTTTTAATATTCAGATGGTAAATGTTTCTCAGTGGACGTAATGAATATTCACTATTTAAGCCGAGGACACACCAAGTCAACGTCAAGGAATTAGCAGGAGATGGAAACTGACTGCTGTCAGAAACACTATCATTGACTTGCTGTTAAAAGCTGTTTTGGTCATCACTGTGAAGAACGTGCCAGCGCTTAATGCATCACAGCCGAAACCAAACGTGTGAAAGAAACGCTAAAACAAGAGGGTTTCATGACACTTTAACTAAAGACTCTCTACTGAGAAAACAGATCTGCCAGCTCAGACTAACTTCCTATATCAGAGAGAAGATGATCAGGAACCTGCTGAATAATGTCTGATTGTGTGGTGTGTGTAAATGCAGAGAAATAAAGCAGTGATGTGAATGTAAGATTGACTCACTGTGAATGATGAGCAGAAAGATCAGATGAAGAGCAGGAGCCATTCTGAGCCACATCAGCATCAAATCTATCTAGAATCCAGCATTAATCATCACTTCTACACTCATCAACAGTAAATGTACATCACCCTAAACAGCTCTTAGTGTTAGGAAGATCTTTACACATCTGCAGATTATGTGTTATATGAGCTTCATCTACACTAATCATCAGTCAAATACCAGTGTGTTTGTCTTACCGTGTTGAAGAGCAGCCGATCAACAGCGACTGATGGACTGACTGTTTTAACACATGCACGTCTTCTTTAAACTTGCAAGCTCTCTGTGGTTAGCACTGTTTTTAAACATAGTTACAGAACTATCAGTGTTCCTCCATCAGCAAAAACCCTACCAGTGACTAAAGACGAATATGTTTTTACTTTACGTTAATTTAAAGACTGCAGGACCAAAGTGAGACTCTCTATTTCACAATTATTGGCAGAAATAAAAGGATAAAAGTTGGTCTTCAGTTGATGCACATCAGTGTTTCTACAGTATCAGCAGCAGGAGATGGAGACCTCTGCTGGTAGATTCAGGCTTTGCACAACTTACAGGAATTTATTTGTGTCATGTGACAGAAGGGGGTGGAGTTTCCAGTCCAGCAGTGAAAGCATTGGCTGATCAGTGTGTTTACTGTGCAGAATAATGTATAATAGATGCACTTTAAATATGACTTTCACATGCAGAATCTCAGATGAGTTTAACAGTTTAATCACTGTGTGAATGTCAGGAGGCCGACAACATCAGTTATTTATAGTAAAGGCTTTAATACTCTGGTAAAGTACTAGTAACATTAAATTACAGATATACACTTTACACAGCATTCAAAATAAAATTATGACCAGAGGTGTTTAAATCACGGCCACTCTTTACAGAAAAACAAGAGACAACTTCATATAACTTTAAGCTCAATACAAGATAAAACCATATAAAAATTCTATCAGGAGTAGGAGATGAAGACCTCTGCTGGTGGAGTGAAGGTTTGCACCGTCACTAATAAAACTGATCACTTACAGGAGAAACATGAACACAGAAAATATCAAACACTTTAAGACAATAAAGCAATTCACTGACTCATCACTAATGATCCCTGCCAATCACCTGTGGCTCCGCCCACACAGCTCAGGATTGGTTATTTCTGGCTCCGCCTCTCACTGCAGCCTCCTCCTGTTGATCTGAACAGACAATAAGATGAAGAAAGACTGAAGCTCAACCACATTAAACTCATAGGCTGCATTTACACTGCACTGTTCAAGTGACTCAATGCCGATTTGTTTCTCCCATGTGGCACAGATCACATATGGCACATGTACATGGAAGCAGGAGGAAATCTGATGGATTCCAATTTACTCAAATCAGATTCAGGCCTTGTTCATATGTGGAAATTTATCCGATATGAATCGGATCAGAGATGTCAATTCAGTAGTGTAAGCAGGTAGATCGGATATACATCTGTCAACGCGAGTCACATTAAAAACCATATCGATTGACGTCAAGTCTGTCTGACGCTTTATCTCACCTTAAACCTTAAATCTCATACAAGAGGGCTAAAAAAGCTTTATATCATCATAGTACACGTATTTAAGCCTGTTAAAGAGAAAGAGAAAGAGAGAGAGAGATTTTTTTTTGATTTTTTACAAAAAGACTTTATTACATCAGTTTTTCATTTCACAAATTTAACTCCACGTCAAATCAAAAAACAACTCTCCTTCCACCACATTACAAACAGCATCCCCATAACACCACTGTTGTGCAAAAGTTTCAACATTATTTAAGGCCTTGTAATACTTAAAGTCTATTGTAACTCTGGACCTTACAAATGCTTTAAAAACTATCAAAATCTCTTGACCATGTACATTATCTATTTTGTTTCTTCTTGTAATAAGTATAGCAAGTTTTGCTTGACCAACTAAAAAATTAATTAACTGCCATTTCATTTTTTGTTTCTGACTATAGCCAGCACCCAGAATAAATTTAGATTGAGTAAAATTCTCTCCACATTTAAGGAAAACTCTGCTCAACATGTCAAACAATTGTGTTAAGCGTGTACATTCCAGATAGCAGTGATATACAGTCTCTCTATGTCCACAAAAAATACACTTGTCATCGACACTAGAATTAACAACAGATATGAAAGCATTAACTGCCACAATGCCATGCAAAATCCTCCATTGTAAGTCCCCCACACGTTTTGTCAATGGTGGTTTATATAAAACTCGCCACACTGGTTTTTCCCCCTCATTTAAATCGAGTTTAGTTCTCCACACTGTATCATTCTTTTTGTCTAGAATTTTCTTATTGTACACTTTCACAAAGCATTTATACATTGTTTTACCCTGCATCATAGTTAAATTCACATCTTTTACCCCTTCCAGCAGTAGCAAAAGTCCTGATGTCCCTTTAAAGTCTGGCGTAAGACCAATTTTTGGAAAGGGATCTGCTTGATTCGGGATTATTGACCCGTCCTTCAGTCCTTTTAGCAACTCCATATCCTTTTCATTTAGTCTTTTTTTCCAAAGTTCAATTATCTTTGCCGTTTGACGAGTTGATCTCTGTCTCAGCAAATTGGTAACCGCATCCACATTATTAAGTTCAGTCCCAGCCACATCCACTATGTGTTTTAGTTGAACAGTTCCAGAGGAACACAATATTTGAGTAAGTCCCAACATGCTCTCATCCGTTATATCAAGCCTGGCTCCTTTAACCAAGGGTTCTTCAAGTAACCAGAACAAAGAACATGTTTCTTCCAGTCTGCAAAGAGAAAAGAGTCTCCATACTTTAAAAAGTCCACAATAGAATGAAGGTAATCCGTTCAAACAAATGTTCTTGGAATCCATTAAAAAAAGTACAACGTCCAATCCAAGACCTTCAACTCTTTGCAAAATTGTCTTAGCTGTCGTTCGCCATACCAAATCAGATCCTTTTACGAGTTTTTGAATGAACTGTAGGCGAAAAGTAGACAGCCTACTTTGCAGATTCACTAAGCCCTGCCCTCCTTCATCCTTGGGCAGGTATAACACACTTTGAGGTACCCAGTGCAGCTTATCCCAAAAAAAGTTTACAATAATTGACTGCAATTTTGACAAAAGGCCAGCAGGTGGATCGATACAAGACAATTTATGCCACAATGTTGATGCCACTAGATTGTTTATCACCAGCACTCTTCCTCGAAAGGATAATTGAGAATGAATCCATCTCCATTTTTTAAGTCTGCCCTCTATCTTTTCCACAATTCCCTCCCAATTTTTCTGTTTTACAATTTCGTCACCAATATATATCCCCAAATATTTGAAACCACCTCTTTTCCATATCATTTGACCAGGCAACTCTGGTAAACCTTCTTCCCATTTTCCAATTGCCAAGGCCTCACTCTTTTCCCAATTTACTTGAGCTGATGAAATTAAACCAAAATTCTTAACCACAGAGACCAAAACATCAATATCTTTTTGACTGTTAACCAAGACCATTACATCATCAGCATATGCTGACACTTTATGTTGAGACTCTATACAATGTAATGATAAACCCTCAATCCTGCTCCTTAATTTAGCTAGCAATGGTTCAATAGCCAGGGAATATAACATCCCTGAGAGCCCGCACCCTTGTCGTATACCTCTGCTAATATTAAAGGGAGCACTTAAACCACCATTGACTTTTAGCATGCTTTCAACATTATTGTACAGCACTTGAATCATTTTTATAAATTTAGACCCAAAACCAAATGACTCTAAAGTTTTCCACAGATATTGATGCTCAATTCTGTCAAAAGCCTTTTGCTGATCAATCGATATAAGTCCTAAGTCCACACCCATAAAGTCTGAGATATCCAAAACATCTCTAATCAAATGAACATTATCTAAAATAGATCTACCTGGCACACAATAGGTCTGATCCATATGAATAACTTGTTTCATTACATCCTTCAGTCTGTTGGCCAAGGCTTTGGAAAAAATCTTCAGGTCAGTACATAACAAACTTACAGGACGCCAGTTCTTGATTTCCTGTAGATTGCCTTTCTTAGGAAGCAGTGTGATAACTGCTCTTCTGCAACTATAAGGTAAAGAGCCCTCTGCCAAACTCTCATTGAGAACAGTTAGCAAGTCCTCACCAATTACAGACCAAAATTCCTCATAAAACTCCACCGGGAGTCCATCAATACCAGGAGACTTCCCACCCTCCATATCTTTGAGGGCATTCAGAAGCTCCTGACTAGATAAGGGTCTGTCCAGTTGCACTTTTGAGTCTTCAGCAATCTTAGGCAGTCCTTCATAAAAACTGGCAGATAACAATTCGTTTTCTTCACATTCACTCTTAAACAGTTCACTATAGAACCTTACGGCTCTCTGTCTTATATCACTTGCGTCCGTCAATACCTGACCATTTTCAGCGCATAAGGAGTGAATGTACCTGCATTGGCCATTTTTTTTCTCCAGACTGAAAAAAAATTTAGAAGGAGCATCCATTTGTGTTAAATTTTGATACCTTGACCGCACCAATGCTCCTTGTGCCTTTATACCAAGCATATTCGCTAAAAGAGATTTTTTGGACTTTAATTTCTCAGCTTGTCTTGATTCTATTTTAAGTTCAGCCAATCCTTGTAAATCTATAATTTCAGACTCCAGTTTTCTCATAGCTTTAGTAATATCTCGGGAAACATTGAAAGCATACTGTTGACAAAACAATTTTATTTCGGCTTTTCCACAATCCCACCATTGTCTCAAATCACTAAAACATTGCTTTCTTAATTTAAATTGATCCCAAAAGAAACAAAATACTTCTTTAAAATTCAGATCACTTAACAACGATGTATTAGGGTGTCAAAAAGCGCTTTTAACTTTAACATTTGCAATAAAAACCTGGCATAAAACCAATGAGTGATCAGTAAAGCCAACTGGTACAATTTCACATTTTCTCACAACATTTACATGATGTTTAAAACAATAAAATCTATCAAGTCTAGCCATTGAAATAAAATTCTCTCTTGTATGTAACCATGTATATTGTTTCACATTTCCATTAAATTCTCTCCATATATCACATAAACTGTGTGTCTCTATTAGTTCACGAAGTACTCGACTTGAATTTGCATGAGGCTCTACATGATTCCTGTCTAATCTTTCATTTTCGGTACAATTAAAATCTCCTCCCAAAAACACATAATCATCAGTTCTACAGTTCTGTAATAATGTATTTATGCTATTTAAAAAAATAACTCTTTCTGTACCATTTGTAGGAGCATACACATTTATAAAATTTATCCTATATTTTTCAAATTCCGTCTTTATTATAACAAGTCTTCCAGCTATTACTTCTTCTATTTGATAAGATACAGGCAAAAAATGTTTAGCAAACAAAATAGCACCACCACCTCTACTAGAACTCGTATGTGTTAATACTACTTTTCCTTCCCATTCCTTTTCCCAATCAATGCTATTGCTGCAATCACTATGAGTTTCCTGTACATACATTACGTCTATATTTTTATGTTTAATTAACTCATACAACTGCATTCTTTTTTTAATATCTCTTGCACCATTTAGATTAAGTGATCCTAGCCTTATCACCCCCATTAAGAAAAGAGTATAACAAAAAACAAAAACAATCCTTAAAGGACTGAAACCAGAATAACTATGTTGTTTCAAAACCATTTTCTGTTTGTAATTCTCGTCTCAATTTGGCAACAACAAATTTTTTCAGCCTAAAAATCTCTTGCACTGTAAATTGTTCAGATCCTTCACCCCTCATCATTGTTCCAACTGACTCAATAAACATTTCACGATCAGAGAAAAAATCAACAACTTGAACATTTTTCATGTTCTTCGTCTTTTGAAGAAACGATCTAATTTTTCCAAAGGAGTAATCACTCCTCAGTCTGCCACTATTTCTGTTGCCAGTTACCTCACTATCAGAGTCTTCCAATGTACTTTGTTCACCATCATCAAATTTGTTGCTGATGCTCCCAGGTCTTTCTATGTTGGGCTTTACTCTTTTCCTTTTAGTTGAAGGGGTTTTAAAAAACTCTTCTTCCTTCCCTAGTTCATTACACATTCCTTCTCCTTCTCCTTCTAAAACACTCTCAGCCATCTCAATCACATTACTGAATTCAGCATTTACGCCTTCTCCATCCCCACCTTTCTCTCCCATGTCTGTATCAATCACCTCTTCAACCATCACCTCTGTCAAATTCCCATCATTTCTCACTTCATCTTCTACCTGTTCTTCCTCAACTGCTCCACCACCATCCTGAGCAGGTGCAATATTCTCATTCTTTTCCTTACAAAAACGCCTCAAATGACCCTCTTGTCCGCATCCAAAGCACCTCATTGTCTCAGATGAGGCAAAAACAACATAATCATATCCGTCAACCTTAAATTTAAAGGCCACACTAAGCTCTTCTGTTTCACTTTTCAAAATCATGTGAACCTGACGTCTAAAACATACAACATGTTTCAGAAGGGGTGACTTACAACCCAGGGGGATTTTTTTCATTTTAGAGACAATTTTTCCATGCCTCGACAGTTCTGCCAATAATAAATCATCTTTCACAAAGGGGGGGACATTTGATAATGTGATCTTCCTCACTGGTTGAGAAAGAGGCATTACTGGGGTGAATGTATCTTTTATTACTACTCCACTTTGAACCACTTTATTCACTTTCTCTATAGTGTCTAGAAAAATAACAACAGCACTGTTCATTCTTGACGCTGACAATATACTCTCATACCCAACGGTCTCTCCAACCGCCAAACTACACTCCTCAACCGAACAAGCCATCTCTGGCACAATTTTGATTCCGTGCCTCCGTGAAAGACGCTCAAACGGCGCATCGCCTGAAAACGCCGATGCCGGCGTCTCCATCGCAGCCGCCATAGCACACACACACACACCTGTCAGCAAACGCTGACGAACAGCGTTCGCGGCGTCACAGAGACAAACTTTGTCTTCAACACACCAGTTCAACCTTTGAAATAACTTTCAATACACTGCAAATATTGACTTTTAAGAAAGAAAGGAAAGATAGAAACTCACTCGCGCTGCAAACACACTCTCACACCGCCTCCGCCCACTCACTCGCAACATCCGCTCAGAGAGAGAGAGAGAGAGAGAGAGAGAGAGATCGAGCATGCAAGCGTAATATCTGCCATGTAACCCATATAAACTAATGTAAAACTATTACATACATAAACCACACCATGGACATCAATGCCTACTGGTTTATAAAAACCTAGATTAAAATAATATGGCCAAATGATAACTTTTCTGCCATAAACTATAGTAAAACAGCTAAAAAATTAACAAAAAAAATGAAACTCGGTGAACAGATAAAATAGAGAAAAGGGCGCTCTTTTATTATCAGCTGTCAGTCAATGCTCGCTCTTTTTTGCTGGTCATTGCATCTTTGCCGTGTGCTGTGTGAATGCAGATAATCGAATACAAGTCACTTTTAAAAAATTATGTAAGCTGGTCATAAAAAAAAAATAAATAAATTTAAATGGTCACAAAATCGGAATTGACCATGAAGATCTGCAGTGTAAATACGGCCTTTGAAGAGGCTCATCCAATAATCAAACTGCTGCTGAGAGGGTTTATGGCTGATATTGTCTCTTACTGGTGGATTGTGATGTTCAGAAGAGCTCTGAGGATCAAGAGTGGAGCAGGAGTTTTCAGCAGGTCTGTGGTGAACGGTCTGTGTGAAAGACAGCGAGAGATCATCAATCATCTGATCATAAGTGAACATTGTCTGACTTTGACTTTCACTTACTGTGAGTGTGTCGTACAGGTTAGAGGTCACAGTCTGGAGATCCAGACCTGCATATGTCTGGACAGAGGAAAGAAAAATGTCTCTATTTAAATGTTCTAAATTCCTAGCACAAGTTCAAGGCGCAGGAGCTCTTAGGATGAATTTGAATCCACTTTAGCCATTTTAAGGATGGGAAAAATGACTGCCGCACTCAGCGCATAATCTACATGTCTGCTGTAGGAAACATGCAGGAAATCACAGTAAACAGAAGATCATCTCACCGCAGACTCATTGCAGATCTTCTGCCTATCAGATTTCACTGCAGATCTTCTGCTCCTCCTTTTAGAAAGTCTGTCAGAGGAAAGATGAAACATGTATTTTACTTCAATATTAGATTAATTAAGCACAGTAAATCTTATTACAGCAGTTTTATACAGTCCCTGCAGGTTTTATTGTGCTCACATTGCAAACATGATGATGACGACGATGATGAATAATCCCCCAGATGTCGCTGTGATGACGATGTTTCTCACAGCATGTTGCTGAACTGAAAGATGAAGCAGATCATGATTAACTCTCCAGACTGATGAAGTTACAGGAGTGTGATGATAAAAGCTTCACCAGTGACAGTGACGGCGTCTGATCTCTGAGCTCCATGTGGATTGTGAGCCTCACAGTAGAAGCGTCCACTCTGTACTGCACTGAAACTCTGTCCAGATCCAACAGCTGAGCTTTGATTCTCCTTAAACCAGCTGAAGCTCAGAGCAGGAGGGTTTGAGTCACTGATGCACATCAGACTCACTGAATCAGAAAAAAGCTGACCAGAATCAGTGACGAACACCGAGACGTTCCTGGGAGGATCTGAAACAGAAACACAGACATATCATTAACAATCACAACACATGTGATACGGTGTCACAGATTACATTTTGTGGGTTTAATATATCAGTTGCTGAACCATCATAAACTCACACTGCACATTTAAAGTCACAGGATCAGAGTATTTCTCTCCATGGTCATTTCTGACTCTGCACTTGTATTCTCCACTGTCATCAGAGCTGATGTTGGAGATGTTGAAGATTCTTCCAGAATTCAGATGTTTTTTTCCTTTAAACCAGCTGATTTCTGCAGGAGGGTTTGAGTCACTGCTGCAGTTTAGAGTCACTGAATCTCCAGACATTATTACAGCAGATCCACTGATGGACACTGAGATGCTCTTGGGTGGATCTAACAGAAAAACTTACTGTTAATAGGCAAAATATTTTGACATCACAGATTATGCTCTAATAATTTATTGTCACAGTTAGCATTGCTAACTCACACTGGACATCTAAAGTCACAGGATCAGAGATTTTCTCTCCATGGTCATTTCTGGCACTACACTTGTATTCTCCACTGTCATCAGAGCTGATCTTGGAGATGTTGAAGATTCTTCCAGATCCTACAGATGTTTCTCCTTTAAACCAGCTGATTTGTGCAGGAGGGTTTGAGTCGCTGCTGCAGCTCAGAGTCACTGAATCCCCCTCCATTATTACAGCAGATCCACTGATGGAGATCACAGGAGTATCTGGAGCATCTGCAGGAGAAACATGTAATAACTAGATATGAAAATGAGTGCAAAGAGCTGCCCATTGTTTTTTTTTTTTATGTCTTTTGCGTTTTTTTTTTCATTTTCAATAATAAAGTAAACTCTGCTCGAGTTTACTTGGGTTGAGCATTCACATATCCTGTCTTTGTCTTTAGACCATACCTGTCAACCCTTCCGTTTTTCCCAGGATTCTCCTGTATTTTACAGTTCTATCCCACTATCATCCTGTAAAGGTATTTTCCCGTATTTTCAGTTTTTCTCTGAAGGGTGGCAACTATACACAACATATACTGCCAAACTACCAGGGGCCGCCCCTTGCTCTTAAATGTGAGTCCATTCGGTGCTTTCTATTTGTTTAGGCATGAAAACACTTGAATAAATATAAAATAAATATAAAATATAATATAAAAAAATAAAAAAATAAAAATAAAAATGGCGGGATTCCCTTTCCTTTCCATTACAGGTGCCGTCGCCCCTCCTATGCAATCCTCAAAACAGTCATGTAGCGGTGCGTGACTGTCAGATGACATGCTCCATAGTGATTAATAGACGCAGCTTCCCAAATGGATTCTGCACACGCTATTTGAAGCGGCACCAACGCCTGGGTTTTGGGTCCGTGTTTGAACAGATGTATACACATAATTAATAATAATAATCTAAAGATGTTGATCTTGCTGGGTTTTTTTTTTTCAAACACAAATAATTTTGTCCTAAATGTGCATAAACGGTTAGGAAAGCAGCCGAGTGCTTCTATTATAAATAAAAGCATTAATATAGAGGTGTGCTTTTTTTTAAGTGACACCTCTGTTATTTAATGTAATCAAACAGAAAAATCTAAATAAATGAGATTCAGTCGTGAAAGTTATAAAGTGAAGAAACAGCTAATGAGATTTGATAATTTGATTCTACTTTCTTCATAATGGCTTTTAAAAAGCTGAACTGTTTGCTAATTTATTTGCTGCTAATGTCTACTATTTAGCATTTCTTTCGTGAATAATAATAATAATACATTATAATAATAACACATTACTGATCATTTACCTGTTTATTAGAATGAAACAGCTCTAGAAGAACAGATTAAGTAATTTGGAGATTTTTTTTTTTTGGGGGGGGGGGGGGGGGTGTTATTATGTTATTACAATCCCTTATTATGGTTGGCATATCACTTATTTTCACACCCCAATGTTGACAGGCCTTAGACAGGGGCAATATAAGCGATCGGCGGTCACCCAGGGTGGCATCTTAGTGGGGGCGGCCGCTCTTCACTATCATTCGCAACACCAACAGGGTGGCATAATCATCGTTTGCCTAGAGCGCTAGTTAAGGCCTGTGCACGTTTTTGCTCACGTATTCCATCAATGTTTAACGCCTCATAGCTAAATAAAGCGCATCAATGCAATTGTGCACGCCAACGTGCAAAACGCCAAGCGCAAAAGCAGCATTTAAAAAAACTCCTCATGCTCATTTTTTTTTTGTTTTGACGCACTGCGTTTAAACCTTCTCCACCAATCAGATTGGCATTTTTGTTCATGTGAACAGAGCTGCTGAAGTTACAGTAAACAGCACTTGGAGGTGCTCAATCGAAAAAGCTGTCAATGCGAGTGCACATTGTAGAAGATGCAGAGAGGCGATATGAATGCGGAGCTGCTTATTGCCCTAGTGAACAATAATCATTTCTTCATCGCTTGAGCTGAAGCTGCTACTTGAACCATCCGTGCTTGTTCGAATCGCCAGTAACTTTAACAACAAGCGTGTGCACTTCCTCTCTTCCTCTTCTTCTGTGTTATAAGCGGGTGTCAGAAGCTTAAAGTTGTGTAGCGCCATCTAACGTCAAGGGGTAATTTTGCACACTCTTCTGCTCGACGTCAGTGCCAATCGCTTGGGTTTAAATACGGAAAAACGTCTCATAAAATGCTGACAATAAACCCAAACGATAATCGTCCTGATGTGTATGAGCCTTTAGGCTTGCACTGCTTTTGGTCTTGGCTGCACTTTGGCTGTGCGCGCTCCCACTTGATGCGGGCACGCGGGGTCCGGGCAGGCTCTGGATGCGCACTTTTGCCCTTGTGTGCCTCTCAGTGCAACAGTCAAGTTGGTTTGGGTTGGCGCTGGGATGGGAACATGCACATTGCACGTGTGAGTGCATGGTAGGTGTATTATTGATCATGTACTTGTGTCTTGTGTTCAGTCTTCTGTTATTGTTGTGTAGAAACAGCCTGATCTCACGAGGAAACGTGAGTATTTTATGTTTTGCCAGTTTAGTGGCTAATTCATACAAATTTGCACGAGTCCTTTTGTACAAAAATGTACGATTTTAAAAAGGAGGCGTGGCACCTAACCCCACCCCTAACCCCAAACGTCATTGGGTGATGAGCAAATCATACTAAATTGTACGAATTAGATCATACGAATTAGCCACTAAATCAAAAAGTTACGAATTGCCGTGAGATTGCGTTGGTAGAACACATGGCTTCATGTTTACTTGTTGGTTTACTTGTGTTTTGCTTTATGTGAACATGTAGTTAATGAGTTCTCTCGTTGGCTATATAGTCCTGTTTTCTTGTGAGCACGTGGTCTTTGCTAGTCTGTGTCTTGTGCTGTCTTGCTACTGTTAAGTCCTATTTTGTTCATCTGTTAATTTGTTCTCCTTATAGTCTCCTTATGTCTGTTGTCCTGTGCCAGTTTGTCGTCATTCTACCTGAGGGTCATGTCCTCATCCTGTCCAGTCGGGGTGATTTTTGTTTTATTTTTTATTAATGAACCAATTTCAGTTAATGCATTTGAGTCATTGCTCCTTTCCCTACACAAAATCGTGAGACACAGATGAACAAAAGATAAACATCATATAAAAGGAACTAAGGCAGAAAAAAAAATGGACCAAATGACAAGATACACCTGAATACAAGCACAGAGGAGGACACAGACATCACATTCAAACCATACAGTGAATACACATGATCAAGTCAAGTGTGTTTGGGATTTTTTCCACTCTGACCTGAAACCCTTGATCATGGGCTTTCATATTTGGCTGCATAATGTCCTCATGTTTAATTTAGTTTGTCCGTATTGCATTTATTTGTTATCTATACAAACAATATAAGCAACAACAATACCATACCATATGGTGAAAGTGAGTACTTTAACTTTATGGATTGACTATATGTATTGCAAGTCTGAATGGTTTAAAATTGTGAATCCTGAAAGGTTAAAATATAAAAAAAAAAAGATTAAAAACTTACATGTGACATTGAGATAAACAGCAGGAGAGATGTACGTTTGTCCCTGCACACCACAGCTGTAGTGTCCTGCTTCTCTTCTACTGACTGACCTGATGTTGAGTTCATCTCCAATATTAGTCAATATGTGTGAGTTTCTGTACCAGATGAATGTTGGTGTGTCAGTCAGTTTACAGCTGCTTTTACATGTCAGACGGACTGAATCTCCCTCTGTCACTCTCTCAGGAGACTCCAGCTGAAGATCTGAACACAACACACACATTATATCTAGTGCTGCTCTCATACACTGATTATTATTCTACATAATGACCACAAGAAGAGAGAAACCTCAGGAGAGTCACCTGTGACAGAGAGACGCACTCCTGGAATGCCAATCCATTTTTGTCCTTCTACATTAGTAACAAATCTGAAATAATACACATGTTCATCTTTCTTTGTCACATGACTCAGTCTGACGGTGCAGTTCTCCTGTTTATCTCCCAGATATTGAAGCCTCTGACTGTATTCAGAGTTTGTAGACAGATCTGCAAAGTCTCCTTCATAATATACTTGGTCTATGTTCCAGAAGGCTTTCATGACCTTCAATCCATCAGGGTATGTATAATTACAGATGATTGTCATTGTTGAGTTCTGTAGTGCACAGATGTACAAAGTACTATATGTCACATCACAATTAGCAGCAAAAAACCCTGAAAAACAGAAATAATCATGACTTATTTTAAATTTTATTGGTTAAACTGGACTATTAGACACTAGTAGCACATGCTGTTTTATTAGTTGTACACAGTGACTCATTACAGATGATATTTTAAGCTGATCTTGTGAATATGAATAATGATATCAGTGTGAATGACTTCAGTCTTGATGGAGGACAGAAATAAATACAGAGAGAAAATAAACCTGCTGAAAAAAAACAATAATGGGAAATTAAAAAGAGCAGTGCATTAAAAATATTGTTTTTTAACTAAACTGCAGCTTTTGAAATAAATGACAAACACTGGAGGGGTGTTGAATTATCCTCATTGAACAACCAATTCACTATAAGAAACATTTGTTTTAGAAAATGTTCACCATTTAAGGCCAGGACAGACCCAGTCATCATCAAAGAACTAGAGGAAATAGAAAGTGACTGTGTTGTCTTTCAGTGAGTATGTTTACATGGACACCAATAATACTATTTTAATATGATTAGGACAATACTCTGATCAAGAGTCTACCGCGGAAACAGCGATTATTGATTAATCTAATCTGATTAAAGTCATAATTGAACTAAACAGAAATCAGATTAAGACATGGAGGATGTCTATTTCAGTGGCACTATTGAAGTGCAGTACAGACATGTAAACACTCAATCAAACTATTACCGTCATGTAGGATTTTTGACGTATTTTGCGACAGGATAGTACAGTACCAGTAAAGTACCACAGACACCTGCATCCCAAAATGCGGAGGTTTTTTCCCCTTACAGCATGCATTATCAAACTCCATTAAAACTACACTCTTCCAGCAGTTCATACTCGCTTCCAATATCTCGTTTGTCATGGGGGACATACATGCAATGTTCCTGAATGAATTTGAACGTGCCAAACTGCAGTAAGTCTACAAATCAAGAATGAAACACCCAAAATTACATGAAACTCCGGAGGAAACGTGGTTAGCGTGGTCATGTTAATCAAATTAAGTGCTATAACACGTAAAACAGAATCATGAAAGGAACATTCAAAAAGCAACTCATGTAAACACCTTCAACCTATTACTGTCTTATTCAGATTAAGGAAAATAATTTGTTTACTGATGTCCATGTAAGTGTCGTCATTGACTAGCTGTCAAAAGCCACTTTGTGGTTCTATGATCAGAAATGTTCCTATATCAGAGAGAAGATGATCAGAAACCTGCTGAATAATGTCTGATTGTGTGGTGTGTGTAAATGCAGAGAAATAAAGCAGTGATGTGAATGTAAGATTGACTCACTGTGAATGATGAGCAGAAAGATCAGATGAAGAGCAGGAGCCATTCTGAGCCACATCAGCATCAAATCTATCTAGAATCCAGCATTAATCATCACTTCTACACTCATCAACAGTAAATGTACATCACCCTAAACAGCTCTTAGTGTTAGGAAGATCTTTACACATCTGCAGATTATTAATGCACAACATCAGTGTGTGTAAATCAACTGATGACTGAGATCAACACAAGACATTTCTCATGTCAGAAATCATGTGTTATATGAGCTTCATCTACACTAATCATCAGTCAAATACCAGTGTGTTTGTCTTACCGTGTTGAAGAGCAGCTGATCATGTAGTTAACACAGTTTTTTTTTATTTACATTGGCAGAAATATCTCCTCTTTTGAACCACCACACAGTTTCTTTGGAACCTTTATAAAGTTCAAGGGTCCTTTATTGCTCATTTTGAATTACTGTTTATAGTGTTTGCAGGTTTACCTTTATGACTTTACAGTGTTATAATAATAATAAAAAAAAAATCTTACACAAGTACAAGGTCAGCGTTGAAAATAAATATTTCTGTCCTCGGGCAGAGAGCAGCAGAACATGTTTACATGCCTACAACCAGTTCACTTCATTTAACATTTCTGTTGACTTTAATCAACCAAACACTTGTTTCAGGTGTTGTTTAATTGCTAAAATAAATTAAATCAGTTGTAGTATCGAGTCATCTGCTGATATAGAAGAGTCTTCTCTTTATGTACTGCACAAATGGTGGTTGTAATGTGTGCCCGAGTTGGAGCTGCAGATAAACCAAACTACTGTTCAGATATGTCACTGCTCAGTGTTCAAATGAGTACAACTTGGTCACAGCTGTAACGCCGGGGAGTGACACCAACCGCAGAAGGTAGGATCCAAATGCAGGTTTATTCAGAATAGTCAGGCAAGCAATGGTCAACACAGGTGCAAACAGATCTATACCGGCAGTCCAGAATCGTAGTCAAACACAGACGAGGGGTCAGATGGCAGGCGGCTAAACAGGAGAACTGGATAAACAAGGCCAACATCAAAACACGGGAAACCAAGACCATGATAACACGTCATAATGTCACCTTACAGATAAACAAGACTCGGCAAACTAAAGGTAAGGATGGCTGACGTGAAACTGACGTTTCGACACAGTGTCGAGATCCCGAAGCGCAAGTGTTTCGTAACACTGCATCGAAGCATGATCCGAAACACCCAGGTCACGTGACTAAAGTGTTTCGAAACACTTGGTCACGTGACTAAAGCGATTCAAAGCATTGATCATTTCAGAGGCGTTTCAAGACCCGGAGAATCTGCATTTGACTGGCATGATCAATCATGTCACTGAGTCTTGTATGGCTTAGTGGACCGTGCGTATGCACAACAGATCTGTGTTACAAATTTGTTTTGGGTTCGAATCCCGACTAGTCCAAATACTACAAAATCATGATTTTATGTATTTTAATCATGTTACTGTTTTATGGTGTAGTCTAGATAGGATACAGCTACGGATATGCCATCGATTTAGCATCATTTTTGTAACACTGTAAAACAATAATTCATATTTTTACAGTACTGTGATGGGTTTAGGTTTTGGATAGACGGTAATAAATTACAATGGAAAATTTAATTAATAATATAAATAATTATTGTTAACTTCTGGCCACAACTGTATCTGATCTAGCAACAACCCTGTTTTATGAACAAAACAATACAAATTTATTTACAAGGCGTTTATTCGTATGTCAGAGCAATGTTGAAACAAAACGATACAATAACAAAGCATTACCAACTGCTATTAAAGCATTTCAAAATTATTATTTCAGTATGGATTAGAACCCATTATTCCTGCATGGTGGTCACGGACTCTACCCGCTCGTCTAAACCATTTGCAGATTCAGGGCTACAAAGTGGGGTTTCATACCGTAATTTGCTCAACTGTTCTTTGCTGAAGCTGTTTCAGTGAAATACAATTAAAATGACCACTAGGTGTCGCCGTAGAGTGATGTTTCGAAACGTTTCGAAGCTTCGACACATTTGCTTCAATAGTTTCAGTGTTTCACGAAGCCTCGCTTTGCCCACCACTAACTAAAGGAGTGAATGTGTGGCTTAAATAGTGTGTTAATCAGTCTCTGAAAGTCCTCAGGTGTGCGAATGTAATCAAACTAAATGAGGAAGCAGGTGTGTGGGCGAAGAGCATGTATGAAGTTGAAGTCCCTTTACAAACACATTTGTAGTTCTGTGTGTGAGAATGTTTACCAGCGACCTCTGGTGGTTAGAGATCGCTGGTGAATGTGACAACAGCACTAAAATTATCAGGTAGAGCTTGATGATTCATATTGGATCCCTGAACAATAAACAACAACAAAACTATAAAAAATTTGACCAAAATTATTTTTATTAAAATGGCTTAAACATGCAAAGCTTAAAACAAAAGAAAAGCAGAGATTTTATTAGTCCTGCTCCATCAATCAATTATACACAATGACAATTATTCTCCCAGTAAAGGTCAAAGAAGAAATTTAGTTTATTTACATGTGCAGTCTAAATGATTATACTTAATGAGTCAACAATACACTTAAGTGCACCTTGGTGTTTTCATTAAGCATTTTTAAGCTAGACTCCAACATTCAAAACAATACAGCAGATGAACAGAAGCATAGCTATAGTTTAAAAACAGAGTAATGTAAAGGATTCTCCAATAATCAACCCGGACTCATTCTGAAAACCTAGTACCGTGGATGTTTCTGGAGACCGCAAATTATGTAGCCGGAGGTACGTATGGCTGCATTTCATTTTTTAAGCGACTGCTACGGGTGTTATGAAGCTGTTCCTTTCGGCGCTCACCAGCTGACCGCTTACCTCCGTGTGGAGGGCTTTCCCGCTGCAACCTGTTTACCCAGTTCGCTCGTCATGTACGTTGGCAGACTTGAGACGCAGAGAGGAGTTGACCACGACGATGGTGACGGGGTTTGAATCCGGGGAAGAGCGATTACAAAAAATCAGGTAAGACAAAAACAGAACCCAAAAAAAAAAAATTAAATGAACAAGTGAACAACAGAGTAAGAATGTGGTAACATCCGAAAACGTGGTAAAAATCAGACGAGGGCTTTTCTTTTTCTGGACAGCTTTTGTAAACCGTCAGTTGGGTTTAGGCAAGTAAGTGTGCAGGCAGGTCAATCGGTAAAATGGGTTGGGTTTAGGAAAGGAAAAGGGGAGGTGAGACATTTGGCCGGACGCCCAGTCAGTCAGAAAGACAGTCGGTCGACAGCGGCCACTGGTGGATTTACGCGAGAACAGTGGTCACACAGCGGTCACTCGCAGATTCGCGAAAACATAAACTGCAAAAATACGTAACTCCCGGGATGTATTCTACGGTCTCCAGAAACATCCACGGGACTACGTTTTCAGAATGAGCCTGGGTTGCCAATAATCATTGATTCATTTATTCTGTGTTCTGTAATGATGTCTGTGTGAGTGGATTTCTCAACGGACGCTGCTGTAGATCACGGAGTCCTCCACTCTTTCAGCTTTTGATTGGCTGAAAAAAACACAACAATATTACAGCTCAATAGTCATGATGTTGGTTATATATTAGTGCTATTTCATCAAGTAGGACACGTTTCTGGATGAACAATTATGTTGAACCTGGAACTACATTCCAATCAGTCAGTCAGATTTAAAGCATACGTTTAGAGTTTATGTTCAGTTTAGGTTTGCAGTCAGGGTCATGTGTTTCCACATCATTGTTATCCAACTAATAATCCAGTGTTTCTTAATCCCAGACCTCACACCCCACTGATCTGCATATTTTGCATGTCTCTCAGCTGATTTAGAGATCTAGCTCATTAGAAGAGCTCCGTCCCTACAAATTGTGAATTAAAGACAACTGTTTACATCAGACAGCCTCTATTCAAATAATCTTGATGCAAAAGTGATAAAGGACAATATATACTTCTCCATCCATCATCCATTGGCTCTGTGCCACTGAACTCCACCCAAATGGCACACTCATCCCTGGTAAATGTTCAAATGACCACAGGACTTCAGATCAGCTCCAAAGTGGGCTTGTGGATGACGCATCCCACAAGGACAGCAATAACACCACACAGCCACAACAACCACTACTCATAGACACACTGCGCTCAGCCTCCACCAAAAATGGAGGAACGGCTGTTTGCTCGAACTAAACTCTCATACTCCATTGGGACAATCCACCAGTTAGCAATCAAAAAAGTAGGAGTAGGACATGTCTCTGGATGAACATCTATGTTGATCCTGGTATTAAATTTCAGTAAGCCAATCAGATTTAAGGGATACGTCTAGAGGTTATTTTCAGTTTATGTTTACAGTCAGGGTTATATGCTTTGCATCATTGTTATCTAATGCTTTTCAATCACGGTTCTAACACTCGACCGATATGCAGATTTCACATGCCTATTTAACCCAGCTGATTTGGATAACCAGCTCATTAGAAGAGCTCCGTCTCTGCAATGTGAATCAATGACAACAGCTAATTCAGGAGCCAGTAACTCCAGAGCCACAGCCTCTGACACCTGACTCTTCCTTTGAGTTTCTCAACGAAAATGGAGGAACTGCTGTTTGCTGTGTGACACTCCCTTACAGTCCAATGACTCAGAAATCAGTTAACCCGACTGCACCACCTTGGTGGGGGGCCAGGGAAGTACTCTCAGTTTGGAATCACAAGTAAGTTTAATGACTTTGAAGACAAGGAATAAGATGGAGCGAGACAGGAGGAACAATACAAAAATATTCTTTAGAGCACAGAGAAATAGATCTCAATTAATAAAAAATTTCCTAGCCAGGTGTAGCAGGGTAGTCCAGCTGCAACTCATGGACAGCTAACCCACCTAAATTTCACCTCACATCAACCACTGCCCACACACTAAAAATGGAAGTCATATCACTTCATACGGTAATATTTAAATGCAGATGAGCAAAACAATAATTAAATTTAGTAACCGAAAAAATAAGCAAAGCAAATCTTAAATGCAGATAAACATAACATTACATGCCAGTAAGCAAAACAGCAGCGGCGTCACATGTAGGTAGAGTCCTCCACAAAAGATAATGATATTCCACTTCCCCATTTATGGTTTAACAAAACGAAAATACGTTCAATTAATACTATCAAACCCATTTACTGAATTTACTGTCGATTGAAGTTGATACATTGCTACATAGTTACTCCCACAAGTATCACAGCTCAAATGTGCCAGTCATCATTCACACACTCACTTGTCTCTAATTTTAAAAGTGAAACACAATAAATACCACCACCAAAAACCGGTAGAAGTGATCAATACAGTTTCCGTATATTACTGTAAAGTAAACTACGCTAAAACTTGCCGCAAAGTAGATGCCACCAGCACCACTGTAATCCGAAAAAGATATCATGGATAGGTTTCAACCCATTTGGTGTAATTAAAGATATAGTCATCTTATCCTACCTGAATACAAACAGGTAATAAAAAGCAGGACGCCATGGAAAGGGGACAGCCAGAAGAGCCCAAAATCAACAGGACACCACATACCCTGTCAAAATAAGAGTCCTTAAGTAGTCTGGCCACTCGCACTTCATTGGTCTACCAATCACATGCCAAACAAACCCAGAAATAATCATCCTGCCACAGCTGGAACTAAAGACTCACACTCCATTGCTGCAAGCCCCCAGTTAGCAACCAAAAGTGAAGAGATTCAAGGGAGAACACTTGAAGGGAGAGGTTACTATATCAATAAAGTATTCCACTAATCCTTAGCGTTACTGCCTAATGACTTCAGCCCCACGCCAATACATTGATGAAATTAACAGTTGGATGTGCCAAGATTGTCTTTAGTTAAACAAAGAGAAAACTGAAGTCATTGCGTTTGGGAACAGAGATGAGGTTCTAGAGGTAAATGCTTACCATGGCACTAAAGGTCAAACTACAAAAAAAAAAAAAAAAAAACAGTCAAGATTCTGAGTGTGATTCTGGAGTCAGATCTGAGTTTCAATAGTCATGTCAAAGCAGTTAGTAAATCAGTATACTATGATCTCAAAAACACTGCAAGATTTAGATGCTTTGTTTCCAGTGAAGACTTAGAGCAGGGATCACCAACCTCAGTCCTGGAGGGCCGGTGTCCTAGCAGGGTTTAGCTCCAACTTGCATCAACACACCTGCCTGGATGTTTTTAAGTATACCAACTAAGACCTTGATTAGCAGGTTCAGGTGTGTTTGATTAGGGTTGGAGCTAAACTATGCAGGACACCGGCCCTCCAGGAACAAGTTTGGTGACCACTGACTTAGAGACACTTGTTCATGCTTTTATCAGCAGCAGGGTGGTTTACTGTAATGGACTCCTCACTGGCCTTCCCAAAAAGACAGTCACAGATGCAGCTCATCCAGAACACTGCTGTCAGGATTCTGACCAGAAGCAGAAAATCAGAGCACATCTCACCTGTCCTCAGGTCTTTACACTGGCTCCCAGTTACAGTCAGAATAAATTTTAAAGTATTATTACTTGTCTATAAATCACTCAATGGCCTATAGGAGCGCAATACATTACAGATATGCCCACTGAATACAAACCCAAGAGAGAAACACTGTAGTAATCAACACTAAGTTTGTGCATACTTCACAGTTAGGGTTAGGTTTAGGGATAGGGATTAGGTCTGGAATGCATTTTAGAACAAGAATGATGCTCCAGAATCAACATGGGGATTTGGGGTCTATGTGTTTAGTGCAGTTGTTGGTGGTCCAGCAGTTTCTCCTCACCTGTGGTCTTGATCAGGCTGCTGAACTGGTGTGTTGTCATACTCTCTCTTCATCTGTGTGTCTCTGTGAAATTGGACAGTGGCGTACTGGATCTCCTCAGCATCATTGCTTTCAGCAGCTCTGCCTTTTTTGGGATTTACACTGGCATACAGAGCATCAACCACTGATCCAGGATCAGAATACAGACCATTCTGAAACACAACAAATGACTTTAATACAAAGCAAAGTTTTAAGAATGTAAAAAGTAGCTTGTTGATGTAAATGTGCTGATGAGTAGATTAAACCTACAAAGCAAAATAGATCTGATATAATCATGGATCATATTTTGTGTGTTCCTGCATCACACCACCTGGGGGCGCTGGAGAAACATTACAGAGAGAAACTGATCTGGGGTCCGTTCCTCGTACCTGGTTTAAATGATCTAAGATTATTTGGCAGATCCTGGATCTTTTAATCTTTGTAACTGATATCTGGCTAATTTGGTTCTTCAAATAAGTTCGCAAATCAGATTAGAATGTCTGGATGAACTAATCTGAGATCGCTGCCTGGGTGTCACATTGAATCCTACAGCAGATGTGACGCAGATATGATGATGACTTTAAGTTAAAATTGTAAATATATCAGAAACTTTAATCACACAAAGTTAAACATGAGTTTGACTGATTTTTTTTTACCTGTATCTGTATGATTTACCTGTGTCACTGTGAGACCTTCAGATTTAGCACTCCTTTGTTTCTTTCTGTTAATTACACACATTAACAGAGTATGAAATTAAATTTAAATATGCTTTTTTAATAATAAAATGTTACTACGAAAAGTTACTAAAACATTTATAAGCACTAAAAAATATAAATTTTATTGAACTCACATTATACACAGAATTATGATGATGAAGATGATGATTATTAATATTCCTCCTGAGGTCGCTGTGATGATGATGTTTCTCCCAGCCCCTGAAAGATGAAGCAGATCATGATTAACTCTCCAGACTGATGAAGTTACAGGAGTGTGACGATAAAAGCTTCACCAGTGACAGTGACGGCGTCTGATCTCTGAGCTCCATGTGGAGCCTCACAGTACAAGCATCACTGTCACTGGTGAAACTTTTAGAACATTTAATAAATGAGGTTATTGAAGCCTCATAAACTCACACTGGATGCTCAAAGTCACAGGATCAGAGTATTTCTCTCCATGGTCATTCCTGGCTCTACACTTGTATTCTCCACTGTCACCAGAGCTGATCTTGGAGATGCTGTAGAGTCTTCCAGATCCTACAGATGTGTCTCCTTTATACCAGCTGAAGTTCAGAGCAGGAGGGTTTGAGTCACTGCTGCAGCTCAGAGTCACTGAATCTCCAGACATTATTACAGCAGATGGATTTATAGATACTGAGGCTCTCCTTGGTGGGTCTAAATAAAAGACAAAATAAATCAAATAATCCGAGATCTGAGCAAATTTATCATTTTTTTTCCAAATTGTATACATTACCAGCACCGTAATCTCTAAGATTAAAATAAGCCGTGTTCACAAAATGCATGTTCTCCATTTAAAGACAGATTCTGACATGGCGTTTTTATGTTTACGGATGAGCAGAATATAAAAGAAAGATCAGATTTTAAACTGATATATTTGTAAGATCACACTATTATGTCTTTCTTTTCTTTTTCATTCTTTTATAACCTGTTTTAATATTTTTATCTGTTTTTGATCATTTTTATTATTTGTTTTTATTTTCTTATACTTGTCTCTTTTATTCCTGTTTATGTAAGGCACTTTGAATTGCCACTGTGTATGAAATGTGCTATAGAAATAAACTTGCCGTGACTTGACGATAAGTTTTGTTAAGTGACAAGTACTTTGATACTACTAAAGGCTGCTTTGTTTACAATTTGAATGTGTTTCGTTTTTTAGCTTTCCTTTGTGGAATGAGAAAACAGATACTGCCCTCTGCTGGTGGGGAACACACATCTGCAGAAAACACACTCAAGTTTCAGACGGCTTTCATCTGTTTGGTGTGTTCATGTGCATCTTTTTGTTCAGAAAGGCAATAGGAAGTGACAACGCAGTTGTTTTTTATTGGCACTAGTTGTCCCACTAGTAGTCCCACTCATAAAGCAGAAGGCAGAGCAGAGTGAACAGTCAGCAGCAGCAGTAATACTACTACAGCAGTGGTGAGAGGATTCATTGGAGAAGACAGATGGAGACAAGGAGAGACGAGAGGACACAAGAACAGAGCAGATTTACAAGGTGAACAACAGAAATGGTCAGAAAACCGACAGACAGAAGCTATATTCAGTGGGGGAGCCTCACAGAATGAGAGGAATAAGTATCAGTTTAATCAGAGCAGAGATTAATGACAGCAGATGACGGAGAGACGACAATACAGAGAAAAGACTAGAACAGACAGAAGATCAAGAGCTCATTTACTCACACTGAACATCTAAAGTCACAGGATCAGAGTATTTCTCTCCATGTTTATTGCTGGCACTACAGTTGTATTCTCCACTGTCATCAGAGCTGATCTTGGAGATGCTGAAGATTCTTCCAGATCCTACAGATGTTTCTCCTTTAAACCAGCTGATTTCTGCAGGAGGGTTTGAGTCGCTGCTGCAGTTCAGAGTCACTGAATCTCCAGACATTATTACAGCAGATCCACTGATGGACACTGAGATGTTCCTGGGTGGGTCTAAATAAAATACAACAGAAATCAAATAATCTTGATTGGAGATCTGAGATAATATAGCTTTTTTCCAAATTGTACACATTAAAGCATTGCAATCTCTAAGATAAAAATAAGTCATGTTCACAAAATGCATGTTCTCTATTAAATGTCAGATTCGGGCATGCAGTTTTTGGTTGAGCAGGAAAAGAAAACAAAAGTCAGATTTTGACATAATTTGCAGGAGTGAATTCCTCATTAATGAGTGGTGTGTTCACACAAAGTTTAAAACAGAGTTTTAAGCTTTATTAAGAGTGGTCAGGATGGCAAGGATCAATACAGGGACAGACGGTAGCATGCAGATAATCCAAAAGAGTAATCAGTTTAACAGGAAAAAGGTTAAGGCAGGTTACAAAACAAACATAAACAAATAAACAAAACAAAGGGTCAAAACATGGCAAGACAAGACAATGACATCGCTCGTTAGTGAACTCTATACAGATATGCAAGACAAAGATTGTGTGTAAAGGTGGAATCATTGTAAATGATCTGCAGCTGTGTGTCTGTGTGATCAGAGTTTATGAACATCAGATATGAGGTGCTGAGGATTCTTGGATGTGTAGTCTGGTTCAGTGGCAGATGTGATGTGTAGAGTGCCCTCTAGTGTCTTTAATTGTCTCTGTGCTGACCAACTAGTACAGTGATAATAGCACTAAACACGGCTTTGTTTATGCTTTGTAATGTTACAGTTTCTCTTTGTAAAATGAAAAAACAGATACTCTTAAGGAGCTACACAGAAGGCAAGGAATAAATATCAGTTTAATCAGAGTGACAGGAGGAACAGGAGCTAATCAGAGCTGAACGGCTAATGATAGCAGCTTACGGAGAGACAACAATACAGAAAAACAGACAGTCCAGAACAGACAGAAGATCAAGAGCTCATTTACTCACACTGAACATCTAAAGTCACAGGATCAGAGTATTTCACTCCATGTTCATTTCTGGCTCTACACTTGTATTCTCCACTGTCATCAGAGCTGATCTTGGGGATTCTGAAGATTCTTCCAGAATTTAGATATTTTTTTCCTTTAAACCAGCTGATTTCTGCAGGAGGGTTTGAGTCACTGCTGCAGCTCAGAGTCACTGAATCTCCAGACATTATTACAGCAGATCCACTGATGGACACTAAGATGCTCTTTGGAGGATCTAAAATGAACAAAACCAAATCTTTAAATCATCAAACAGAATCTTCAGTAGAGAACTAAACATTGAAGATCAATGAATCTGTACTCACAGGTGACATTGAGATAGACCTCAGGTGATGTGAGTGTGTGTCCATCTACAGCACATCTATATCTGCCTGCATCTTGTCTTCTGACTGACTGCAGCAGGAGTTCACTGCTTCTCTCAGTCAATGTGTGTGAGTTTCTGTACCAGATGAATGTTGGTGTGTCAGTCAGTTTACAGCTGCTGTTACATGTCAGACGGACTGAATCTCTCTCTGTCACTCTCTCAGGAGACTCCAGCTGAAGATCTGAACACAACACACACATTATATCTAGTGCTGCTCTCATACACTGATTATTATTCTACATAATGACCACAAGAAGAGAGAAACCTCAGGAGAGTCACCTGTGACAGAGAGGCCCACTCCTGGAGTGCCAGTCCACATTCCTCCTGTTACATTAGTAATGAATCTGAAATAATAAAGGCCTTCATCTTTCTTTGTCACATGACTCAGTCTGACGGTGCAGATCTGCTGTTTATCTCCCAGATACTGAAGCCTCTGACTGTATTCAGGGTCCACAGACAGATCTGGATACTTATCATCATTTACAAGGTCTTTGATCCAAAACACTTTTACGATCTGATATCCAGGAGTCGGGTATGTAAAAGTGCAGCTGATTGTCATTGTTGAGTTCTGTAGTGCACAGATGTGTGAAGGACTGTAATTCACACCCCAACCAGCAGCAGAAACCCCTGAAACACAAAAATAATCATGATTCAAATGTAGTTTTATCAGTAAACTGGATTATAAGACACTAGGGACACATGCTGGTTTACTAGTTGTACACAGTGACTCATTACAGATGATATTTTAGGCTGATGTTGTGAATATGAATAATGATGTCAGTGTGAATGACTTCAGTCTTGATGGAGGACAGATATAAACAGAGAACAGAGAAAATAAACCAACTGAGAAAAAACAGTAATGGAAAATAACTGGACAAAAAGACCTATTTAAATAATGATGTACTAAAATGCAAACTACAAGTTTCTTTATTATGAACTAGTGATGTGATCAATAACTACCTAAATTACTTGTTCCTGTATGTTTGTCAATTAATTAACACTTTAGATCGAGGTAAATGTATTCTGCTAAATGATAAAGAATATTAAAGAGATATCTCACCCAAAAACTAAAACTCATATAACCACACGCCTCAACTCATCAGTAGTTCATAATAAAGTCAAATGTAGATTACATGTTAGTTCATTATTATTTGCTATTTTTATTGTAAAGTGTTATTTTCCTGAATACTGTTGATTTTATATCTCCACAAATGCTGTAATAATTGTGTGCTGAAGCATTAGTTTTGTGTTTGCTGATCAACAGTAAAGTTCACCAAAAAAAAAAAAAAGTTAGTTTTTAATATTTAGATGTTAAATGTTTCTCAGGTGAGGCAGTGGCGCAGTAGGTATTGCTGTCGCCTCACAGCAAGAAGGTTGCTGGATTGAACCTCGGCTCGGTTGGCGTTTCTGTGTGGAGTTTGCATGTTCTCCCTGACTTCGCGTGGGTTTCCTCTGGGTGCTCCGGTTTCCCCCAAAGACATGCAATACAGGTGAATTGGGTAGGCTAAATTGTCCGTAGTGTGTGTGTGTGTGTGAATGTGTGTTTGGATGTTTCCCAGAGATGGGTTGTGGCTGGAAGGGCATGTGCTGCGTAAAAAACTTGCTGGATAAGTTGGCGGTTCATTCTGCTGTGGCGACCCCAGATTAATAAAGGGACTAAGCCGACAAGAAAATGAATGAATGAATAAATGTTTCTCAGGGGATGTAATGAATAATCACTGTTTAAGCCAAGGAAGACACACCGAGGAAGTCGACATCAAGGAATTAGCAGGAAATAGAAACTGACTGTTGTCAAAAACACTGCCATTGACTTGCTGTTAAAAGCTGCCAGCGCTTAATGCATCACATCCGAAACCAAACGTGTGAAAGAAACTGCTAAAACAGGCTGGTTTCATGACACTTTAACTAAAGACTCTCTACTGAGAAAACAGATCCTCCAGCACAGCCTAACTTCCTATATCAGAGAGAAGATGATAAGAAACCTGCTGAATAATGTCTGATTGTGTGGTGTGTGTAAATGCAGAGAAATAAAGCAGTGATGTGAATGTAAGATTGACTCACTGTGAATGATGAGCAGAAAGATCAGATGAAGAGCAGGAGCCATTCTGAGCCACATCAGCATCAAATCTATCTAGAATCCAGCATTAATCATCACTTCTACACTCATCAACAGTAAATGTACATCACCCTAAACAGCTCTTAGTGTTAGGAAGATCTTTACACATCTGCAGATTATTAATGCACAACATCAGTGTGTGTAAATCAACTGATGACTGAGATCAACACAAGATATTTCTCATGTCACAAATCATGTGTTATATGAGCTTCATCTACACTAATCATCAGTCAAATACCAGTGTGTTTGTCTTACCGTGTTGAAGAGCAGCAGATCAACAGAAACTGACCGTGAGAACAGATGCACTGTAGCTTTACTGTCTTTAGTTAGCTGTGGTTAGCACTGTTTTTAAACAGTTGCGGAACTATCAGTGTTAATCATTCAGCAAAAACAACACTACCAGTGACTAAAAATGAATTTGTTTTTACTTGAAGTTAATTTAAAGACTGCAGGACTGAAGGGAGACTCTCTATTTCACACTTATTAACGTTTCTGCAGAAATAAAAGGATAAAAGTTGGTCTTCAGTTGATGCACATCAGTGTTTCTCCAGTATCAGCAGCAGGAGATGAAGACCTCTGCTGGTAGATTCAGGCTTTGCACAACTTACAGGAATTAATTTGTGTCATGTGACAGAAAAGGGGTGGAGTCTTCAGTCCAGCAGTGAAGGCATTGGCTGATCAGTTCAGCATGTTCAGAATAATGTATAAAAGATGCACTTTAAATATGACTTTCACATGCAGAATCTCAGATGAGTTTAACAGTTTAATCACTGTGTGAATGTCAGGAGGCCGACAACATCAGTTATTCATACTCAGGTGGCTTTTTTAGCAGGGTAAAGGCTTTAATACTCTGGCAAAGCACTTATAGCAATACAATACAGAGATACACATTACAAAGAAATCCAAAATAAAATCATGACCAGAGGCGTTTATATCACTGACACTCTATACAGAAAAAATAAGAGAGCATGTTTATAAAACTTCAAGCTCAATACAAGATAAAACCACATAAACAGTCTATCAGCATCAGGAGATGGAGACCTCTGCTGGTGGAGTGAGGGTTTGCACAAACACATATGAGACCGTCACTAATAAAACTGATCACTTACAGGAACACAGAAGACAGAATAACAGAACACAGAAAGTATTAAACACTTTAAGACAATAAAGCAATTCACTGACTCATCACTGATGATCTCTGTCAATCACCTGTGGCTCCGCCCACACAGCTCAGGATTGGTTATTTCTGGCTCCGCCTCTCACTGCAGCCTCCTCCTGTTGATCTGAACAGACAATAAGATGAAGAAAGACTGAAGCTCAACCACATTAAACTCTTTGACACAGTCAGACATCATTGCCCAAACACTCTGATAATTCTAGTCGGGACTAAACTTGAGCTAAAAGTTGACAATGAGACCATTAAAAAGCTGAAAGAGAATAACCAAACCCCCATCTCCTTCCATCAAGGCCTGTCTAAAGCTGCAGAAATAGGAGCTGTGAAGTATGTGGAGTGCTCAGCAGAAACACTGACGGGGGTTAAAACAGTGTTTGAGGAAGCCGTCCGTGCAGTTCTGGTGCAGAAGCCTACAGTGGAGCCTGAAGTGGAGCCTATAATAAAGTCAACAGAGAGAAAGTGTTTAATCTCCTGACCTGACTGAATGCACAACACATATAATACAGTCTGAACTCACCTGACAGCCGGAGGTTATCCAATGTAGACACTGTGAGTGAATAAAGCACATTTCTGATGAGAAAATGATATAAATAGAATTGTGTACTGGCTTGACTGATATCATGGACGTTTGTTTTCAAAAAGTGTGCAAAAGCAAAACTGATGTCCATGATGTCTTCTTCAAACTCAGCATTTTCAACATAAATCAACATCTACAGCTCTGTTTTCTTTTGCAGATCAATTACAGATGAGTGTGAGAAATACTCACCATTGTGGTGGTCCATGTTCCAGGCCAATGAAGGACGGAGGAATATTGCTACGTGTGGTTTATTCATAAACTAATTTCGAGAGGATCATGAGCTTATAATCAACACGGCTGGCTCCTTGTTAGCTCCGTAATCAGCCCTATTAGATGATTACGGAAGCATTATAAATAACCTGAGTTTTTCACTTCAGTTATCTTTGTCTTGACGCTCCCCCCCTTTCCACCCCTACATCCTCCCACTTTTTCTGATCGGGCGACACGGTGGCCCAGTGGCTAGCACTGTTGCCTCACAGCAAGAACACCGCCGGTCCAACCCATTTGGTGTTTCTGTATGGAGTTTACATGTTCTCCCCGTGTTCGCGTGGGTTTTCCCCGGGTTCCCCGGTTTCCTCCCAACGTCCAAAAACATAAACCATAGCCAATCGACTAAAACAAATTATCACCCAATACAACCTGAGTTTACACTTCTCACGGTGACCAGCAGGGAAGTTCTCGAGACCTACCTGACCTCGAGTTCCCCTCTCGCCCTTCTAACGGGAGGGAGCCCCGGGCTCGAGGATATTACGAGCTCAGGGCTCTCTCCCGGGAACTCTTGAATTGGCATTTTAACACTAGTTTTTCCTTATTGCTGTAACTCTGTTTATGAAGCACTTTTTGCATAGAAAACAACAGGAAAATGTGGACACGTGCTACTTGCTCATAACTTTTTATGATGGTTGAATTATCGCTGCATACCCCTCTCAAGGCAGGCGTTGATGAATTGCAACAGTTAAAAATTAACTACCTAATCACTCCACATACATATTTTATCATCATGAGTTTTTTTTTTTTACTTAGAAGTACCACTGCAGGACTTGGTTGTCCATTAGCAACAAACAGTTTCCCCACTTGCATATAAGATGACACAAAAGACAAAAACTGTTTCTTGGAGTACCACATGACAAAGTGACTTGGAAACATGACCTACTCGATGAGGATTTGAGATATTGGATTTGGATCCCATGTTGTTTTTGTTGTTGTTCTGCCACTGAAAAGCAATTTGTTACATTGTTTATAAAGTTTTATATAAGAAGGTATTGTTCATATCATATTCAGTCGTCAGTGTCTAATTACCACACTGGGCCAATGTTGCAAATCTGCAACATCCCAGAACGCCTTGCATGTGAAGGTCTCTCTAAAAAAAAAAGTCAGGGTTCTATTGTACTACCCCATATGATAATTTTCCCCAAGTATCAGATTTTTCCTGTTTATTAAACTTAATTTTAGCCTGAGAGGGATATATTTGTGCCGCAGTCTCAAAATAGAAAATGTATTTTACAACAATATTCACATTACAAAATATTTTTTAAAGTTTATCTGGGTCAAGAAAATATATGTGTAACTATACAATACAAAATGGATGACATTTAAAGTATTTATTTGTGTAAATAAAGAATGATTTAGATGAATTGCATCCTAAAGTATCATGTAGAACTCACATGTATCATGTGTAGAAACACATTTACTGAAGTATTATCACTAGTGATGTGTTTAATATTGATCAGAAGCACATTTATCACTAGAGATCCTTATGGCTTCTCTAAACATCCTTCATTTAGTTATTAATGTAAATACTGTCATTATATGAAGATCAAAAATCTTTCATCTCTGAACAATAAACAACAACCAAACAATGAAGATGCGGACTAAAGTCAATTTTATGAAACTGGAAAAAATGCAAAGCTTAAAACAAAAGAAGAGCAGAGATTAAATCAGTCCTGCAGCATTATTCATAACTATACACAATGACAATTATTCTCTCACTAATGGTTAAAGAAGAAATAAACGAGTTTAGCTACATGCTCAGTCTTAATGATTATACTTAATGAGTTACCCGACGTTCACACTGAAAGCGGTGAGAGCGTCAAAGTAGCCGGAAGTCATTCATTTTCAATGAGAGCCGGCAGAGATAAGCGGCGAGGAGCAGCGCGGCACGTTTTCACTGGCGTGGGCATCCAGGAGAGTTGAAATCAAGTCAACTTTATGGTAATGAGCTATGATGGGGTTCGGTAGCAAGCAATCAGAATGAAGGCGTCCACCGCTTGATAGGAGATCAGAGAACACAGACCTGTGAACTTTGGTTCAAACCACAGTTGTTCCCAAGGGTTTGATGATAACGGTCGTCGGATGTGCAATTATTTACAATGTTTTCTTACAGGAACATACATTGAATAAGTTACTGGCGAGTTACTGATGTTCATTAATGTTTTATAAACTTATCTTAAAAAAGCGGGACTCTCACGCGACGTGACAGTACAAAACAGTACTGCTACTTCAGGATATTCTAGACACATGGACACATATTGGATACATAGAGCAAAGCCACACCACACGCAACTTGATCTTCCACTGTTATTTGAATTTGATAAGAAGTGCGCAACATTTTCACGCTAGAAACATGTTTAATGCAGGAATGTAACTGACATGTTACAAGATCAGTAACTGTTACGAGTTACGAGTCACCTTTATTGTAACTGTTACGAGTTACGAGTTACTGCTACAGTTACGAGATCAATGTAGCAAGTTTTGACTCTCTTGCCGCCAGAGCTGAAGGCAGACAGCGTTGTCGCCAGGGCGGTCAGACCGACCTTGGACGCTCTCGACGGTTTTTAAATACGAGATCAATGTCCTTTAAATACGAGATCAATGTAGCGAGTTTTGACGCTCTCGCCGCCGGAGGTGAAGGCAGACAGCGTTGTCGCCAGGGCGCTCAGACCGACCTTAGACGCTCTTGCCGCTTTTGGTGTGAATGTACGGTTATGTGTATAATACAAGTTATGTGCATCTGTGTGCTTTAATAAAGCATTTCTTTGCTAGATTACACAATTTAAAACAATAATACAGCTGGACAGAAGCATAACTATAGTTTAAACAGAATAATGTAAAGGATTCTCCATTAATCATTCACTCATTTATTCTGTGTTCTCTAATGATGTCTCTGTGAGTGGATCTCTCATCTGACGCTGCTGTAGATCACAGAGTCTTCCACTGTTTCAGCTTTTGATTGGCTTAAAAAAACAAGACAAAAACAACACAACAATATTAAAGGTCAATAGGCAGTGCTGGATAAACTGATGGTGGTTATATATTAGTGTGATTTCATTGAACATCGATGTTGATCCTGGAACTACAATTCAGTCAGCCAATCGGCTTTAAGGGATACGTTTACAGTTGATGTTCAGTTTAGGCTTAGAGTCAGGGTTATGTGCTTCTACATCATTGTTATCACAATCCAGCGTTTCTCAATCCTGATCCTCGCACCACACTGATCTGCAGATTTTGCATGTCTCTCT